AGTACGCCCTGCCAAAGGTAAGGCAAGCTGATATCTGTGCAGACTTACTCGTCATCTGGGATTTGCAAATTATTGTAAGAGTGGGTGAGTTAATTTAACCGGTGAATAGGGGTGTTGCAATGTGGTGCTTAATTAAAAAAATAACGAAACATTATTAGAATTGATGATGCGGAGTAGGAATTTGTTAACCCCAAGGCTGTCCTTTTTTGCGCATCTAGCATGTTTTCCAATAAGTTAACAGGCGGGTCAAATAGAGAAGTAAGTCCCTTCATAGTTGCTAGTGTATAGGTTTTCCTTGGTTTAAGTGGGTTGATGTGTCTGGCTTTCCTTCGTTGCCTGAATGTAACACGGAATCGCGTATTGTCGGCTTTGCAGAAGTGGGGAATCTCACGCTCTCAGTGTTGGTGAGGGAGGAATCAAACGCCCATGTCGAACACTACCACCTGCACTACGATGCCGCGAGTCAAGGATACTACATTAGTAGTGATAAGAAGTTGGGCAGTCTGGACGAGCTCATAAAATTCTACTGTGGTGAGTGAATGCAAGTGTAGCATGCATTGAAGAGGCGAAGCGTTGGGGAGGTGGTTCTTCGTGAGCGTTAGAGTTTGAGCATAATGGTACCATTATTTGATGACCACGTAGTTGTGTAGGATGCGGCATGTCTTTCGACAAATGTGGCATTGGTTTGGCACTGGCCTCTAGTGACATCGAGCTGTTCTTATTGGCCTACGTGTATCATTGTGGAAGGAATGCGTCTTCAGTTGGAGCAATTATCTATCGCGTCTGAGTGTTTCATATGACTGAATTTGTGTGACTGGAAATTTACCTGCTCTTGCATTGTAATGTCGGATCGTTGACTCTAGATCAGAGACGAATGTGAAACCCTCAAATAAGCATGAGATGGAAATGAGTCGATCAACTGTCACATTGGCCAACGTTTGACTGCACTAAGTCACTTGTTCATTTGCACCACTGTGTACGCGGTAATGGGGAGAATGTGTGCTTCACCTAAGTAATGGATGACTTTTGACGGAAGTGGAAGTGAAGTCTCGACTTGAGGCGAATTGCCATGGCGGAAGGGTGCCCGATTTCGTAAGAATTGGTAGAATTGTTGGAACTTGAAGGTTTCTATGTGTCTAATGCATGGTATTTTTAGACCCAGAAACCTGCACACTCACAGTGCCACTTTGCGCTCCATGCCCGAAATTGGGTTACAGTGCGCAGAAATTCAGCAGTTGCGTTGTGAGCCGAGCCAGCGTTGCGTTGAAGCACCGTCTGAGCAGTGGGAACTTCGGTGAGGTCTGGTTGGCCACCTATCGTGGTGTGGAAGTGGCTGTAAAACGTGCTTTGGCTGCTACGTCACGGCAGGACATTGTGAAGGAGGCTGAGGTCATGCACCAGCTCTATCATCCGAGATTGGTGCTTTTTTTGGGTGTGTGCTGCGAGCCTTCCTCAGAGCCGGTAATGATTATTACAGAATTTATGCCAAATGGTGCACTGGATGGGTATCTTCGGCAGAAGCGACCGCCCTACGGGGAATTGCTGGACATGATATTTCAGGTGAGCGAAATCACCGTGACCCTGTGTGACACGGAACTAGAATCGTCGAAGGTCCATTCCGAGTTCACTTCCTTCCTTCTGTTAGGAATGCTCTTGACGTCTCCCAAAGATACACCGAATCAATTGCTCTGTTCATGTTGACAGACGGAGCGAGTCTTGTGCTGGCATTTGTAACTTAGTTGATTTGAGTATCGGTTAATTGTCGGGTAGGATGCAGAGGGTTGGGTAAGATGGGAGGTGAAGCGTGGCCGCGGTGGTGGTGGCCCTCTTCCACGGATCCAACCGTTGAGTGGGTCTGGGAGTCAAGTGGCTTAGGTGGGTTGAGCAGCACCTCACACAACCACTGTTGGAGTCTGGTCACGAGGGGCAATGAGGGACTTGGTAATTTTCAATTCACCTGCCTTGCCAATGGACTGCATTGAGTTTCAGCTTGCGTTCGTTGTTTGTTTTTTTAGATAAGCGATGGGATGGCGTACTTGGAACGACGTCGAGCAGTTCACAATGATTTAAGAGCAGCGAATATTTTAGTGGATGCGGATAATTCGGTAAAAGTGGCCGATTTCGGACTGACGAAAATTCTCTACAACGATAGTCGTGATATTTGTGGTACGCGCTACCAACTGGATTTGTGAGAAGTGCTGCAAATTTAGCGAGAAATGGGGATTTAGTGGGCGAAGTACTTTTTGTTGATATGAGAAGAAGTGTATGCACTTGAATGCTAGCCTTTCTTTTGCATGAAGTAGATGGTGTCTTCTAATTGGCAGTATCAGCTCTAGTTTTCTCGTTTAAACGTTTGTCTAGATGGAATGTTTCCGGTTCGTTGGACACCGCCGGAGGCGACGGAGGTGGGAGTTTTCCAGTCCACTAAATCGGATGTTTGGTCGTTTGGAGTTCTCATGTACGAGGTTTTTACCTACGGAGGAGTTCCCTATGATGGTGCGCTACTGCTGTTTATATTTATTTGAAAGTGCAGTGCAGTAGGTGCTTGACCCACTCCTATCGCCTTTTGGAGTGACAAATTCACTTTAAGGTAAATATTTTAGGATGAAGAAGTAGCCTTTACTGGGAACGATGACTTTACGTGTACAGGTCCGTAAATGTAGATGTCGTTTCTACTGAAATGCATGACGTAGGCGATTCGTGTAGATGGGGTGTAGCGAGGACTCGTTATTGAACTACTGAAATGCACGAAATACAAATCCTTCTTTTCTGGAAACGTCTTTCGCAGACATTCCTGATGACAACGAAGTGATTGTTGCGGTTGAGAATGGTCACCGATTATGCAACCCCAGTGAACTCGGGTACCAGTGCGAGGATAGGATATACGCCAAGATGCAGGCGTGCTGGGACTCTGATCCTGAGGCTAGACCAACTTTTGAGGAGCTCTACGACTTTTTCAAACCCTCCGATGCAGCTCTTCCATGAACACCTTTTGATGAATACGTGAGGAGGGCTATGATGGAAGTGCGTACGCAGGGCCGCACTATTGATGTCGAGTTGTTAGTCTTTAATTTGCCAATGAACAACCTTATTTAACTTATATTGTAAGAGAATGACAGGAATACACGGGAGAAGGACTTTTGAGATGTGGGAATGTTCATTAGGCATTTATTTGGAGCATGCTTACATAGGGACGCGGAGAGCGAAGGGTCCACGTGGTTGAATGCATGACTGGACAAATATGGGGTGGTAAGGTGGTCTTGCTTCCTGTCATGTGTGCAATCCATGGTGCTGATGACGGCAGCGGCTGTCATCAACTTTGGAAGGATGCTCCACAACGAGTGTATTTCACACCCGAATGGGCATTCGTGGAAGCACTTGTTTAAAGGCTGTTCGTGGAGTTGGTGTCCTGCGCTTATTCCTTCTCGTAACATGGTTTTCGTTTCGGTGTTGCTCAATCGTCGACCTGGACTGCTTTCATCCACGCAGGAAGTGTGTCACCTGCCTACTCGATTCACAAAAATTCAATGGTTCAGTGATGATGCCACTTCTGTTGTTTGTTGTTCTCTTGCGAAATGTGAGGTTGAGGTGGTCAGTGGACGTAGCTGTTATTAGGAAGCAGTGGTTTTCCAACGACTGCTTTTTGCATGGTAGAAGAAGAAAGTGGGGAGGCATTCGCCAGTCTTTGAAGCTCATCACCACCTGTGCACTCGTGCCTCGTGACACCTATTTGCTCGCCTCCCGTCTTGATTTCGCCATTGCAATTGATGTAGGCGGCTGCGACTTGTCGCGGCGATCGCGTCATACACTGCTCCTTTGCCTGACACACCGATCCAGCATCGCTGCGTCAATATTAGCACGCATATGTCTGCACTAGTGACGGGAATGCAGGGTGTTCCGCGGCGTGATGCATCCACTTACTGCTTGAATACTCCCCTGCCAAGTAATTACAAGCACCCCGTGGATGGTGCGTTCATCACGAGGTTGATGGGGAGGTGTTGCACTCGCATCTCTGGAGGCGGCCGCTGTTTCACCGTGTTTGCTGCAACAGACGAGCACGAAGCACACGGCTTTATGCTGGGGAATGGCAGAAAGTGGTACAGAGCACATTGGGGATTGCCTACAAAGTAGGGGGTGTTGTGCTCTCTGTGGTCTTACAAACCCTCAGCAGTTGATCCTAACGAGCAGAGCGTAAAGTGGCGTGCATTTTATTGCAGTTTGTTTGCGCTAAAATGAGGTCGGCAAGAATAGTGTAAATCGCAGAAGAATTGCAAAGCTTATGCCTCGAACATTTGTCAGATGGAACCAGGGTGCCTAACATTCCTCATTAAGTCCCACCTATGCGTCAACATCAAGTGGCGAAGGAGGAAGGCTGTGAAATTGCTCTGTATTTGAGTCATGTCGTCAGGCCTGCCTTAGCACGGGCGGTGTTTCCAAACCCAGATGCCCCACTTGTCATTTGAGAGTAGTGAAATGTACGAGAGTGGTTTTTGGACGGGTTGACAATGAGCACTTTGGTGATTCAACTGCAATCGTGACGATTAGTAGAGTTAACAGTTATTCTTCTGCTGCATGAGAGGGTTGTGAATTTGCTCCTCTACACACTGATCATCTGTCGAGGACTTGTAAACGAGTCGGGATATTGGATGAATGAGCATCGTGTGGCATTAAAGGTTGTGGTGAAGT